AGCAAGGGCAACCCCAGGCAGCACGACTGACAGTTGCACATTAAGAAATGTCAGATTCGGCTTTATAGCGTATCTGTCAGGCTAGTTTTGAATTGGCCGAGTGCCACCTGTTTGTCTTCATGTTTAGATCTCGCAAGAATAAACAAAGCGCATGACTTTGTTGTTGCTTCATGTTCCGTTAAAACACGTGGCAGCTTCAGCTACTTTCTTATTCTGCTCGTTCTGCAGAATGAGGATATTTTTTCTTACCCTGTACAACCGGCTCTTGAAAGAAGTTCAATTATTTTGCAAGTCAGTAAAAAAAGAAGCCAATAAAACATTTTTCTCTTTTTTTGTGGGGGACAATTCTGAACTTAAAGTTTAAAGGAAGTGAAACATTTCCAGCAAATTAAACACAGTTTTGAAAGTTTTACACTTTTCTAAAAATTGCTTGTATTTCGAAAATAACAAGGCAGCTTCCCCCCCCTTTCTTTCTCTTTGACAAGCGTAGCGTTATTCACAATATCATATTAAGTGCGTTTTTACCTTTTTGTCAGTGGCCTTGTCGAATACAGTCTACTACGGCCCTCGGTTTTTCTCACCACTAAACCACTCAACTTTTCCATGTTTGTGATGTCAGAACTTTGATAGGGAAATGCTGCTGAATGGAAAGTTTGTTCTCTATATGCAGTGGTCTTGAAAAAAAAAAAAAAAAAGCTCAATTTCCGTCCACCAACCCCCCCTTTTACAAAAATTGCATAATATGCTTTTGATGTCATGATCGTAGCCTTGCCCATGGCTCTGACACTGATACAGCGCATGTTATTTTTAAACCTTTGCATCGCAAATGTCAATGAAGTTTTCCATGACCCTTTTTCATCTGCTGAAATGTTGACTCTGACCTTTAAATTTCAAAAGTTAGGATAATTCAATAAAGATTGACCACATTTCAGAGTGTAACACACAAAACGCCAACCCGCCAACGTGTGAACAGATGCAAAGTAGTTTAGAAATGCCCACGTTTAACCAGTAACCCTTTATCAGATTTTGCTTATGCTGAAGACAAGTTTCGGTAATTGCTTCTCATTTCATTTTGTAACGTTCTAACTTCTTTGAAAAAGCACTGCACATGAAGGGACAAGCAACAATGAGTGAGAAATGAAGGGTTCTTTTTGTACAGTCATTGTTAGAAAGATTCGTCTCCAGCAGGGCCCTTGAAGCTCCTGGAGTGTCTGAACAACTGTGGATGTTAGCTAAATGGCCAGCTCTGCACCTCACTTCCTGATGTCTCTCAGGGTCAGTAATTCCCTATAGCTGTTCCCAAGTGGCCTTGCTTTCTCCACTAAAGGTCACATTAAGGCAAGAAGGTTGTCACAATTAGAAGGGCATTTAAAGCTGCTCTTTTAAAAAGATTAAAAAGCACTGTTGGCCACATCAAGCAGTCAGGCAACTAAAGGAAATACAATAATTGCATTAAAAGTTAATTCCTTTCTGGCAGGGCTCTAATATCAGAAAGGTATTGGGTTAAGTCATTTAAGACAGCTGCCCCTGATAGCAGATCATCCATGAAAGCACCAAATTAATATAGAGCTTCATTTTTCGCCGTCTCTCACTTTCTCCTGCTTTTGGTCCTCCAAACGTGTGTTTGGGGGGGAAATTTGAGACTAGCTTAACACAATTTTTGTTCATGTCTATCAGTCTGTTATTATATCAGGGGCACTTCTCCACAAATGTACAGGCCAGGGCAATTTGGAATGAATTGATTCACACTGAGCCCGAATTCTATACTTGCTAATGATTCCCTTTTAGACCCTCAATTGCACCCCCACCCAGCTTCTAGTTCCATCAAGTCCTGCAAATCTTTTCAATGTTGCAGACAAATTGTGTACATATTTTTGCAGAACAGATAAGGAGCAAAGAGTTGCTCAGTACATGCCAGTCATTTCCTGTTCAAAAATATAAAAAGTTGATGTTGCACTCTCTTTTTTTTTGTCTTCTTCTTTTCTTTTCTTTTCTTTTTTTGAATTGTTTGAAGTGTTTTAGATAAGAATATGTGATACCATGAGACTGTGGATGGAAAATCTTGAGTTTTGGTTTTTGGTTTTTTTTAAACTCTGGTATGGTATCTTTTATCAAAGTGTTCTTGTTTATTCCAAGAATGTTTGCAACCCTAAAACTGCATTTTTACCGTATTGCACAGTAATTGCTCGATAAGTAGTGGTTTGCGTTGGCCTAAATAATTCAGACTGAAAACACAAATCTTTTCTCTCTTCTCAGATTTCTTTTTAATTTCTCGTGGTTAAAATTCTGGTTACTTTAAAAGTGAAACTAGCTACAAATACAGAAACCAGCCCAAATGATCAATTGTAAGATATACCACAAACTGGTGTCTGATGATCGAAAGTCTGAATTTCCCAGATGCTCACACCTGCTCTTGAATTCCTGTAAAATATCCATAGGTGGGTCTTACGGTATATTATGGTTAAGTGCCGTTACTAGTTGGGGCAAAAATATACAACTGGTTACATGGATTCCCTCAGGCGTCTATCCATGCAGTTCGAACGTAATTGGATTGCAGCCTCATTTCTCACAATTCAAGGTATTGCAGTTGTAATTTTCAGACAAGTGCAGTGCAAATTCTTGTCCAATTCAAACTCAATAACATTTCTGTAATCTTGTCCGTTCATCAAGTTCACTCTCTTTAAGTGTGTTGGTTAATGTTATCTCTTTCTGTGATTGAGTTTTCACCTCTTTTTCGGCTTTACCTGACACTTTATTGGTTATCTGGTTTGCAAAGATTATCGCTCTTAACATGGAGCACTCTGGTGCATTAGGAGTCGAACCTTTACAAGAGGTATTACAAAGAAGCCTAATTGTTCTTCGCACCAAAAATCATTTACCAGTTTCCTGCAAGGAAGGAAATTCACCTAATTTCTGTTTTAGTTATTTATGCTGTCTACTCAAATGCGCCTTGTACTGTTATCCATCTTACCCCCGCCCTCCTAAAAGCCCCAGTTGTGTGCTACCCAACACTATAACTGGGGTGATCCATAAGTCAATAACAAGACTGAAATCTGTGCAATGTGGTTATAATTGATTGAGATGTCTGGATGGAACTTGTGCAAAGCATCTATGTCATCTGCTAAGAAGTGCATTTTTCCTCTCCCTGAAGATCTACCACAACAGTTTTAACCAAATGGACATTTGCCTCATTAGTTTGCCGCTGAGCTAGCTGCGGTCCTTACTAAGATGTCACACTTACGCCTGTTAACGCTGATACAATTTTCTTGTCAATATTGTGCTACTGAAATTTTAAGCGAATGTAAACAAGGACTGCTCATTCAGCATATTCTTTCCCTGTTAGGTCATTACCTCTCAGCGGGCCTCCTGTATATAACTCTGTTATTTACCGTAATAAATATTGGAGTATTAGATTTTAGTGTGTTTATTATCTCTAGTTTCCGCCATTACCACATGCTGTGTCTTGTGGTAATGGCTCACTGACTTGGACAGTGAGCGCCTTGCAAGCACTAGAGTGATTTTTGTCTTTTTTATCAAAGGGATATTTTCTCTGTGTTTTGACTGTATCTTTTGGCCCAGAACATCAGTTACGGGGTCACCATGCAAATGGTTTAATCTGGTTGTCACAATGAAGGTTCCGGGTGACTGGCTTTAATAAAGCTCTCAGCATATATAGAGATCCAGGAAATTCCGCACCTCTTGCGTAACCCTTGTGTACATCAAGGTCACCGTGTTGTCCCAGTGAAAATGTAGATTAGTGTGTACATCAGTTGTGGCAGCGATCTCATGAAGTCAAAATGGTGCATTTTAATGAAAGGTTCACTGGGTTGTATGAAGAAGAAATGTTGTTATTATTATTCAGATGTTCATTTTAGGTTTGTTTGTAATCCGCGTTTGATAAGTTTCTTAAAGATGCCTGTGCTATAATTCTCTACTGTACTGTGTGCTTGTGACAGAAATCTCACTTTTTAAACAGCTTCACTGCCACTCCTACCACTTGGACAAGTTTAAACTGCAATTCTTTTGGATTGAAACAGGTTCTTAGTATATGCAATGCATTACCCAAAATGAATTACCACTGGCAGGGCGCTCAATCACTTTGTATCTTTCAACACTAAGAGAAAAGAAGAGTAATCAAAACCTTTCAACCTATTAGAGGGATGACTTTTACAATTGAATCACGGGGACCACAGGTGCGATAATAAGTCATCGAAACCTCCTCTCTAGTGTGTTTCCCCTTTCTCTGTGTTCTTACATATTTATCTATTTTAGGAGGCGCCACTTCATGGCGCCCACTTCAAATTTATGTTTTAATGCCATTTGAGGAAGATTTTTTTTTCCCTCCCTCCAATTCTTGGAAATGCATACTGGGGTGGAAAATTAAGGTGCATCTCGAAGGAAAACATAATAGAATCGATGAACGCAATGCACTTAAAACTACTGGTGTTCTGATGCTATTTAACGTTCTAGTGCATTAACGTTTCAAGTCATTACAACATTCAGGCTGGGTGATTTGATCATGGCAGGTTTTTAACTGGAAGAATTACAGAAGTTTTCAGCCTAGGATTCTCAAGTTATTAGATACAAATGATCACCTCTGCATTAAGTATAGATTTTCTTCCACTCCGCACTTAAGAATGGAAGTTTGTCTTTAAGAGGGTAATAGCAAATTAAGCTCCATACTCCATTTGTCCAGCACTCTTGATGGGCTAATTTTATAACTGCTGATTTGGTCATTCCCCACATTTAGCTGGAAAGTGGTCAGGTGGTCTTTTTCCTCACTGCTGGGTGTGGGGGGAGCGTAAAAGCAACTATCAAATGGAATCCATTTAAGGTTTTTCTTTTTTTCCTGTGGGGTTGGACTGATAATGAACCTTTTTCTTAAAGAAGGTCTAGACTGTTGTTTGTGCTGTGAAAAGCATCAGTTTGCTGCAAAGCTTATCTTCTTCCTCTCATGTTATATCATTACGAGGGATTAAATCACATTTGTCTCTCCCCAGATTACCACTGCTGTACAATTTCTACAGAACCCAAAAGTACATCAGAGTCCCTTGGCCCTCAGAAAAACCTTCTTGAAGAAAAAAGGTGAGAGACTTCTCATTTGCTTGATTTATGCTGAAAGCTGAAAGCTGTGAACAGTATACATAATTTGGGGGAAATGGCTGTGGTATTACAATCCACAAAATGCGGTTGGCAAAGATACATATGCTATTTTTTGTAAGATCATTCTGTTGGGGTCAAAGGTTGTGGCCATGGATCTTTGCCTTCAGGGGGGTCTAATAGGGGTCGATTTAGCTTCAGAGAGCATGATTCAGGCTCTGTGAATAAATGACACACCAGTCTGGATGCTCCTTTGGGTTCAGGAAAATTAATATTGACAAACTCCCTCTGCATTTTCAATGGAATTATCAATATTGCCTTCCAGCATTTTAACCCTTTTACTTAATTTAACAGTTATTGTAAATTTGAGGCACGGCACGAGGAGGTTTTCTAAGCAGGGGAGGTTGGAATGTTTGCTGGCTCTTCACTTTCTTTGCAATTCATTGAGATATTTCTAACACACAGTAGAATATTGTTTGTGCAATAAAAGTTGCAAAAAGCTTTATTACTCTGAACTCATTTAAGTCAGTTCAATATAATGCAGCAGTAGAGCTGCAGTGTTATGCCATGTATTTATAACAGTCAGCCTATGGCTGAGCTGTAATAGTATGTACAGTGTGTGTGTGTGTGTCTTTTACCTTGGATAAACACTTTGTGGGGAGTGTTTTTATTTAAATTTGCAGTGAGACAGTTCAGTGTGTGGGGACTGTACTTGTACAGCGCTTAGGGACTTTGCATTCAGCCAAACAGTGAAAAGTGAGCTTAAAAGCTCTGTGACTAGGAAAGGTAACCCGAAACCAAATCCATGGTTGCCGGCTGCTACTACACTCATCTCATATGGCTCTCTTGATATCATTTGAAATGTATTTTTTTTGTCTTTTTCTTTCATTATTAACAACTAAGGCATGTTATCAGTCTGCTGTTGGTTAATTGAAATGTAACAAGGCCTCATTATTGTCAAAGGATGCCATGCTGCACCTTATTTTCTTCTTACTTTCAGCCTTGATGCAAACTCCACGGAGCTCCACTATCCAAATCGGTTTGCTCTTACTGCACTTTAAGTCCATGAAATATGTATGATGCTTTAATGCAGATTTATTTTGGAAAATCGGTTCCGCTGTAGATCTAAACAAGAACTCTGGATTTGCATAAGGACATCGATCTTACACAGAGAGAGATGGGAGATATGGGCAATGAAACACTAAGCACAAAGTATGTTTGCACTCTGCAGTATTCTTAGGATAACTCTTGACTTGTACAGTCATACAGTAGTGAACCTGGAAGTTGTTTAAATCCAATACTCAAGCTTTGAGATTTCTCCTGTTTCAGGAAAAAAGCTCTGCTGTTACTATCGTGCTTTATTAAATCAGTTGCTTTGTGTTTTTGTGATTTTATTTAAGTACAGTAATTTTTTGTCTTAGAAATCGACGTTGATCATATTACAGGAAATTATGTCAGGAAAAGGCTTTTTTTAAGCTGCGCTTCAAACCCAGATATTGCACCGCAATGCCGCTTAGTAAGGAACTAATCTTAGCTGACTGCTAAAAATAAAAGTAAAGTGTACTTTAAGTGATGAATCACCTGTCAGACCTTTTTCATCAGTATACCACATTTCTTGATTGAAATATTTCTTTGTGGGAATTTAAACAAAATAACTTTATCGTGCCGGTGTTTGTGTTAATTCATAAATTATTGTATGAATTGCACTTCTGGGTTACATTCATAGTAACAAAATAAAATGAAGTATCAGTACAAAGTATCTTTTAGCCTTTGTTCATCTTCTCAGAAGCATCGACATCAATACTGACAAGAATTTGATTTTGAAACTTTCCATTTTCCTCCCATAAAACTCGTTGGTAAACTTGTTCATTGGTGACTGCTTGCTGAGCCACAATAAGCTTTTATACAGGCGGCAGCAGGCCAGTGCTCAGACTTTTGCATGCTCCTGTACCCAGCATGTATTGTCCTTTCAACCTTTTGACAAAGAAACTCAATCATCATCCTCCTTCTCCCACAGTCACCACAGCAAATGTGTCAGTCTTAATTTCTAATACAGTTTAATGTCATATTTATGTAAATACTTCTGGATTTTACTCTATATTAACAGCCAGAAATGTCAAAGCACACATAAAATGAAACAATACCATCTCCTGGTAGAGTGGAATTTAAATTGGATTCCTCTTGCTGCCAGTACTTACGCTGGACAGCTGATGAAGGGGAAAATAGGGCCCACTTTGATTGCATGTTGCAGAATCTTTACACAATAATCTCAGTCGTGCATATTATTTCCCAGCGCATTTGTGCCCTAATCTGCACTGAAGGATGCCTCTCTGGTTACATGTCTGTTTTTTCCAAAGAGAGCCTAATAGTGTGGTTTATTTCAATATTCATTGAAAAATATAATTTTCTGTTTTCCTTCAACTGTCAATTTCAGGGTATGAATTGGCAATTATGCAGTCCAATATTTCAAGCTGCCCTTCTCGAGTCCTTGAAGTTGAATAAGCTGGCTGAAATATTGAAACTTTGTCACTTTGATGTAATATAAATCAAGATTTAAACCCAGAGATGCTTTTTTCCCTGTCTTTTACAGAGGAGTGAGGAAATGAATTGCATTTTAAACTGTCATACCGCAATCTTGAAGCAATTTTGCCTTAGTCGTTGACTGCCAAGATCAAGTAAATTTTATTGTGTTTGAGTGAAATATAATGCGCTAGACTCTCATCTAGTGAATTGTGCCATCTATGTCTTCTTCAATTAACAGATGCAGCAACTAAAGAGCATTGGGCCTCCACTTTGGCACCACCATTTAACCCAGACAATTAGCAGTTACACACATAATTACCAAAAAAAATCAAATTCTCAGGACAAAGTCAACAACATTTTCCAGTTCTCAGTGTGTCACTTTGACCGTGGGACCTAAGGTGACATCACCCAGCCGCTCCTAGTTTGACAAACCGAAGGTAATTTGTTTTGGAAAGTAAACACAGGGAGTGTACATACTTGCTGCAGTACAGGTAATTTCAGCATGTGAAACGGGTACAGGGCATTCAGAGTTGGTGAGATATAAATGATGGCGTGACTGTTTTTATTTATTTTATTTTTTTAATAACGTCTCAGTTGTTATTGAGTTGAATAAATAACCCTAAGAGATTTCACCCTGAGAAGTGGGCCACTGATGGAGGGTCAGGGGAAACAGAGGTAGGCTTTTGGTCTATTACCATACCTGCTATGGAGGTAAGAGTAAGGTTCATCATCCCAGATATTAATAGGATGCTGTTTGTAAGTGGGGTTATGTGACTCACCTCTCGGACAAAAATGACAATGACCAAGGCCTGCATGGAAGGTAAAGGGATTGATGTGGTTATAAATTACTCCACGGCGCCACCTAGCCTAGGCCTTGCCCACTTTGTCATCACTACAAGGCGATAAAGCAGGGAAATGAGAGCAGAGTCCCCTTTTTTAATACATAAATGAATACTCTATGAGAATGGTCATTATTTAGGGGCAATGTTCAAGCTGTTGAACAGAACCAAATGACATGTAGAATCTCCCTCGGCAGTATAGCTTGGGAAACAGTTTGAACCTCTCCTTAATAACCCATTGACCTCCATCTATTTATGACCCCTGGCTTGCATTTTTTTTCCATAATATTCAAAATGTAAGTAATTTTCACTCAAGGGCAACTTCATAGTTCAGGCCTTGGAGGACAGCGAAAAAGGCATTCACCTTTTACCACACAAAATATTTTAGTAAGCAATTCTTATAATTGGCTGTCCAGGCTAGGTCTTGACCCATAAAGTCCAGAAGTGCCAGAATTGGAGAAATAGATTTAATGCTAGCGCCCTGCTGCCTCTTTGCCCTTAAAAAATACCCAGAGAATATGAGCCAGTGAAAATAGAGCTGTAAATAACCTGACGAGCAATGGGTTTTCCTTTAAATAAATACCGATCAGGTTTATGTTGAAAGACAATAGAAAACGTAGCCCAGATATGCAGTTTACAGTATTTATAGCTGTAATATCGAGGTGCCAGCACCGTAATTTCATGCCCCAATGAGAATGGCAAGGTCAAAGCAAATGCTTTGGCAGAGCATCTGCTAATACGGTGACTCATAAACAGGCACTGCGTGTATCAGGTGCACCAAATAATACAGTATAATGAAATACAGAATAGCTTTCCATTATTGTTGTTTTTTATGGTGTCGTCATTAGGTGTAATTTATGTCTTAAAAAATTCATCTCCCCACAGGTCGATCTGAAATGGGGGTCCAGGGGTCATTCCACAGGTTTTGGAACCCATAATAAATTTCACAATCCCTTTTTTGTCTTTTCCTTTTATATGTAAAACTCACTTTCACCTTGTTCCTTTTTCTTTGGGATCTGAGGGCTCTTTTGTTTGCTGTTGTCTTCCCCCACGGCAATAAACAGATCAGAGCCTCAAACACAACTTAGCAAGCTGTAATTTCACAGGAAATCAGCTTTTGGAATTTCCAGGTATTTTATTTTGATGTTGGGTAAAAAACAAAAACCTTTCATTTGCTGCGTAAACAACATCAAAGATGTGAAGAGCTATTAACATGTACATATATTGGTCTCAACAGCAGCCTAAATGTAGTTTTTTGTTTCCTTTTTAAAGACCTTAAATTTCAAGGTGAAGGGAAATTTCCTTTTTTTTTTTTTGTCTCTTTTCTTTTGTTTTAATATATCTTGTCTTATTTGGTGAAACTGAGATCATCGCATGTCTCACTCAATAGTCTGTCACCATGTAGTCTGCTGCGGTCAGATGAAACAGGAGTCCAGGGACACATTATTGCTTATTTGACAGTGCAGTCTGACTGCACAAACTCAGCGCATGGCGCTCACCACTTCCTGGCACTCAGGACCTGCTCTGCTACAGGCTGGCCAATATTTGCCTTCAATTATTCAACAATTTTCATGGCCATTCCTTTGAGCATTTAAATAGGTGACTGGAGGGACCTCTCTTGGCATAAGCTTTCTGCTAGATTATCACAGGATTTGTTATTCTTTTGGCCTGCGGGTACATGCTCAAGTGTGAATTCAGATTTGCTTCACAGTTAAACACTTAAACAGGTATTCAAATGGGAGGACTTGTTTCTCTTTTCCTTTTTGTTTGTTTTAAATCACATCTTGTCCACCTTCAGAACTGAAACTTTCTGCTTTACATTTGACTTCTCATAAAACTTTCAATCCACATGGAGGTTATTGTATGCTGTCTCGTATAGGCCACTCTGGAGGTCAGTAGAAGAACTGTTATATCTCTGTGCAGATACTGTTCTGTTCATGAAAACGTGAAGCAGTCACTTGAAATACTGCATACAAACACTTTCCGTTCTCTCAATATCTCTGAAAAGATGGAGGAAGCATTAGGCAGCGCATGTGAGAAACTAAATCCTGAGGGAATAGTTTAAGTAAAAGACTCTTTTACAAATCTGATTATCTATCATTAAGTAAGTGAAATTACAGAAGGAAGTAATGGCTAAAATCTTG